CCCAGGACCCTGGGATCATGACCTGAGCCGAAGGCAGATGCTTAACAACTGAGCCACCCAGGCACCCCCAGATAAGGATTTTTTGCTTTGAGTTGATGCTATCACAGGATGAGAGTTGGGGACAAGGCGAATGTATTTTGCATGTGGGATGGATGTGAAACTTTGGAGTCCAGAAGGCAGACTGTAGTAAGCAGAAAATGGCCCCCTAGAGATGTCCACATCCTCTCCCCAGAATCTGGGAGTGTGTTATGGTACATGACAAAAAGGAATTCTGATTGCAGATAAAATTAAGTTGCTAATCAGCTGACCTGGAAACAGATCGCTGTAAATTATCCTGGTGGATACAATGTCACAGAGCCCTTAACAGTGGAAGAAGAGGGCAGAAGAGGAAGCCAGAGGGACAGGAGATGGGACCTGACCTGCAGTTACTGGGGCTGGAGCTGGGGCAGTGGCCACTCACCAAGGAATAGATGCAGACTCTGGAAGCTGGCGAAAACAGATTCTCCTCTAGAGCCTCTACCTCGAACGCAGCCGTGCTGACACCTTGATTTTAGCCTTTTGAGATTTGTGCCAGACTTCTGACCTACAGAACTGTAAGATAAAAAATAACTGGTGTTGGGGCACCTGGGTGGCTCAGTTTCCACTGTTTCTTATGCAGCATTATTACTGGGGACAAAGCTGACCAGGACATAGAACTCCTGACAAGTCACGTAACGAGGGTCCTCCTTTTATGGATTAAGACAGTCCTGGTGTGTACCCACGTGCACATGCGTGGAGGCATCCCTGTGCACACGAGGACTGACCCGCGCGCAGCCCTGGTAAGTGGGGAAGATCCGTGTACGCCGTGCACAGTGTGGGGTTACTCTCTGTTGCATCTGGAGGCATGAGGGCTGCGTGCAATGTGACGGAATCTGTATGTCCAGGCTTCCTTCCTTGGTTTTCCTTCCCAGAATTCATTTGTTCCTTCACTATGAGGTGTCCAGGTCCTGGCTGAAAGCCTATGTGATTTTTTAGGCCCAACCATAGGCCATGACAACGGCTTCCCCCTGGCAGTCCTCCCAGGAAGCTACCCTCCACACCCCAGCCTGGGTGCCCGGCCAGTGCCTGGCAGTCTCTGGGTGGGGAGCAGCCAAGGACTCAGCCACCAACACCTTCCTCGGGTGCCCCTGCCAACCCCTCCCTGGCAGAGGGGGGGGAAACCCTGAAGACACTTATCTCCCAACTACCTCGGGACCCCGCACTTTCCTTCCCCACCCCAACTGCCAATGGGGGCCCCCAGATTCACAAAACCGCAGGAGCCTTTTGTTCGGGGCTCCCTCAGCAGTGAGACCACCCCCAGGTGCTCATCCACCTGACCGTGGGTGCCATTCCATAGGGAAAATGGAATGGATGGTGGCACTTTCTCTGGTTTAGCCTCTTCCTTGCACTAAGTAAGCAATGAAAGGCTTGACTGTCATTTTAGTTTTGAATTGTCTTAACTGGCTGCTCTCACACCTGGCAGCTCAGCGCTCCAGCTCAGCTGACCTCCTGACAGTACAGTGCTTAAGAGTGAACTACCTTGGGGTGCCTGAGTGGCTCAGTCGGCTAAGCATCTGCCTTCGGCTAAGGTCATGATCCCAGGGTCCTGGGATCGAGCCCCGCATCGGGCTCCCTGCTCAGCAGAGTCTGCTTCTCCCTCTCCCTCTGCTGCTCCCCCTGCTTGTTCTCCCTCTCTCTTTC